CTCAGAAGACTATTGTTCACAGTGGGTTGCATGTATTCGTGGGAGAAATGAATATATATAGTATATATTGCCTGAAAAAGACCATGAATGCGCACCAGTGCCGAGATGCAGAGTTTAGTGTGACATCCTTCCACACTTTCTTTCTAAAGACACTTTTTTTGTGTGTGTTTTTGCCTGTGTCATCTCACTACTGTCACTTGCAAGGTGCTGAATCAAATGAATACCTTTTTGGTCTCATAAAATAGAACACAGTTTCCCACCTTCAGCATTATTGGCGTTTTGGCCTGGATAAGTCTGTGCTGTCCTGTGCATTGCAGGATGTTTGGAAGCATCCTTGGCCTCCACCCACTAGATGCCTGAGCACCTCCCTGCCAAGTTGTGACAACTTAAGAACACCTCCAGACATTGCCAAACGTCCTGGCGGTGGTGCAAAATCACTACAGGTGGAGAACCACTGAAATAGAAACACGAAGTTAAGAGAATGCACAGTTCACATAAGTAACTATGAAGCATTTTAACGCCTGTGCTCAAAGTTATGTTTGCTTATATGCTAAAAGTAGTGCATGGCTTCTAAGAGTGTTCAATAAGAAATAACAGTAATTTGTGAAACCTGAAAAACTATTCCGGACTTTTTCTACCTCTACAAAATATAAAGCTGTATTTCTAAGCGTAATATTACAATTAAGAAAAGGCAGACATAAGAAAACATAAGTGGAAAAGAATGCCACTTCAGCTGATGACCACAATGTAACAGGGCAAAGGGGCAGCATGGACTGATAGGTTAATACAGTAGGCAATATTTATTGACAAAACATTTGTGCCAGGCATATTACTACTTCAGAGGATACAAAGATGAAATCAAAACAACTGATTTCTTCCCTTTAAAAGCTCAGAGTCTAATGGTGGCTCATGGACACACAGACAATTATGGGATTAATTATCATAAAAAGGCAGTAATGGAAAATTATGATACAAATGTCTGCTGCTGACTTGTAGTAAAACGACCGGAAGAGAAGAGCCTTAGCTGTGTGAGCAGTGAAGTGCACAGCTAGGCTGGGCTTCCCGCTGTTACCCTGGCAGAGAGGCGGTTAAGGTAATTCAGATGGAAGTTCCCCTCTTTTGCTAGAAACATACTTGACATTAGTTTATCGGGTGATTCAAGTTGAAGCAGCTGAACTATTTTGCCACAATTATCAGGATAAGTAGTTCAATTATTCATTCACTCGCCTGTGGAGACTTCAGAGTGCTGTGGTCTCATGAATTAAACAAGTGAACGTCAGAAGTCTTGGGAGATTGCTGTTATTAAAACATATTAATATTGGCTATACCTTAAAACCAAGGTTTTTGGAGAAAGCATTTTTCATTTATAGATGTACTCTGCTCTCCCACTTGTTTTCTGGGAAAAACCTTTAATTTTCCTATTTATTCAGTGATACAATGACCCCAAGCCACTGCATGGTTTTGGATTAGAAAAAAAGGTAAAAAAAAAAAAAGGACAGGAAAGTATTAAAAATTCACATAAATATAGCTTCAGTCCCCTTTTGTCAGGTAGGAAATAGACAAATTTTGATTGCTGGGACCATGGCATTCGACTGGGCAGGAAGTCAGACTAAAGACACTGTTTTGCCTGAAATTCATTGGTTTTCCTGGAGCAAGTGCTGACCTGAACGATTGCAAGAAAGTCACAACACCAAGGAAACGGGATGGGATGACATATTGTAGGAAGTGAGCGCACCACAGCTATGTATGCTTTAATGCATGTTCCCCAAACGTTTCTGGTTCACTTAGCTTCCTACTAGGCATCTGATAGGACAGCATCTCTTGGTTGCCTGGCATCATGTGACTCTGTCTGGCCAATGAGGTGTGGGTGCACGTGACGCAAACCCACCTGTCTGGAGTATTTAACTGACTACTACTTGAGCTACTCCCAGGTTCTTTTTTCTTACAGCAAGGTAATCATCAACGCTTGAGCTTGCTTTCTCCATCAGCCTGAATCTAGCGAATGACTACTCTGAGCAGGGCCCTCCTGCTGAGCCATGATGGATGTTTTAAGCCAGGGATTGGCAAACTACTTCTGTAAAGTATGAGATAGTATTTTAGGTTTTGCACACCATGCTGTCTCTGTCACGACTACTCAACTCTGCTCTGCTGTGGCAGGAAAGTCGTCATAGAAAATATGTACATGAATGGATGTGGCTGTGTCCCACAAAACTTTATTTACAAAAACAGTGGGAGGGCCACGTGGCCCTAGGACTGTAGTCTGCAGATCCCTGTTTGAAGTCACAGAGCTTTCAGGACTGTTACTGCAGCATAACCCAGCCTATCTGGATACACCGACGGCTGCGAGATGGACCCCAACTGAGAATCTGCTGTCTGTGTTGTCATCTATCCTGCTCCCTCTCAACAATCTTTCTTTTTTCCTTGAAGAAAAGCCTAATTTAGCTGAACACGAGTCTTCATGCTTTGGTAACTACTACTGTGCAATGAGCCAAGGAAACGCAGAAGTGGCCTCTCCTCCTCACGCCTTATCACAAGCCCTCTTCAGCTCAAACCTGAATCATCAGGGGCCTCCCGGTCATTGGTTCTCACGCTTTAGCTCCCATCAGTCTCACCCCGAGGACATGTTAAAACAGAGTGCGGGACTCCACCCCGAGGCTTCTGATGCTGTAGGTCTGGGGAAAATTTGTCTGGTAGAGTATTTCATGTGTGATCTTAAAGACATTGGTCAAATTCTAAGGAATAAAGCAGTGATTTTTTTCCCCTCAAACTTCAGCGTGTATACAAATTAGCCGAGGATCTTGTTAAAATGCAGTGGGCCGAGCGTGGCGCCTGAGATTCCGACAGCGACAGGGGGCAGGCTGAGTGCTCTAAGAGCTGCAAGCAGCTAAAGGAGCATGCCCTCCTCTCTGCCTCTCGGCTCAGCGGGTGTTCAGTGCAGTGCTCAGCATAGCTCTGGGGCTTCCGTCTAGAACCACCTTGGGTCAGCTTTGACCTCTCCCACACCTAACACACAACTGATAAGCAAATCCTTTTGGTTCTACCACCACAGTGTATGAAGCACTCAACCACTTGTCACTCCCTTCACGGTAACACCCCGACCTTGGCCACCACCATCCCTGGGCTGGAACATTTCAACAGCCTGCTAACTGGGCTCGCAGCTTCTGCTCTTGCCCCACCCTTCCCCTCACCTCTAATACACACTTACTGTAAATTCTTATAGAGCAGCAAGAGGATTTCTCTAAGACGCAGATTGACCATACTCCTCCTCTGCTTTAAACTATGCGTGCTGTGACTCCCCATTTCACTCAGCGGAAGCCAAAGTTCTTCCAGTGGCCTCGGAGGCCTTACAAGACTGGCCCCCTTTCATGTCTGGACCTCACCCTACCCTTCGCTCTCGCCACTGTGGCCTCCTTGCTGGTCCTTGAACCCGCCAAGCACACTCCCATCTCAGATCCTTGCGCTCGGTGCTCCTTCCACCTGGAAAATTCTTCCTCCCAGATAGCTGCTTGGCCTTCCTTCCTCACTTCCTTCAGGCTTGGCTCAGGTCAGGCTTTTCCTGACCATCCTGTTTTCTTCTCCACCACTTCACTATCTGACGTGTATTCTCTTATCTTTGCCCCATTTAGAATGTGAGCTCCACGAAGACAGAGGTTTTTGATTTGTTCACAATCCCTGGCCCTAGAGAGTTCCTAACACATAGTAAGAGCCTCAAGAAATACTTGAACGACTAGATAAGGGACTTGGCAGCTGATGGGGACACGAGGCGGCGGCCGGAGGCGCAGGACACACTGTTGCCAATCAGTAGCACTCACTTTATTCCCCAGGAACAGTGGGTTTGGTATCACCTTCTTCTAAATCCCCTTTCTATGGAGTTCAAATTATACATCAGTCATTTACTGCTTTCACACAACATTCCGCTGCATTTTCCAATGATTATACATTTCTGTCCAGCGCTTGGTTTATTTTCTGTTCACTGTCCACACCCACCCTACCCCTAGGTTAATGACAAGGCGGGAAGAATTCTCTCGGAGCAAAAAATATTCTGTTTTGTATTTCATTCAACATTCACTTAAAACCTTTAGGTAAATCTAAAACAAAAGGAAAAGAAAGCCCAATTCGTAACGCTCAGGCCTCTTGGATAAATGTCACCTCAAGGTAGCTGAAGGCTGTTTTCACACGAGTCCGGAGCTTTAGGACTCCTAACAGGCCAGCCCTCTGGCCCCGGCCCCGCGCGCGCCCCAGGGACCCCCGGCCGCCGGCCCTTCCCCGGGGCGCCCCGCCCCGCCCCGCCGGCCGCTTGACACCTATTGTCCCCGCTGGGACGTCGAGCGACTTCGCCTGAAGGACCCTCGCTTTTGATTTGCCTCAAAACTCCAGACGCCGCGCCCGCAGCCACCCCAGGGCCGCCCGACTTGCGCCGAGCCGCCGCCCCCGGGGCAGGGCAGGGCCGGGCCGGGCGAGGAGGCCGCCCTCCCCGCAGGCGTTCGCGCCGGGCAGCCCGCGCGGCCGCGAAGGCCCCCGCCCCGCCCTGCGCCCGCGGCCGGCCGCGCGGCCCCGCCCGCCGCCCTCGCCGCGGCTCTCGGGGCAGCCGCACAGGGCGGAGCGCGCCGCCACGCCGGCGCCCTCGGCCTCCCCTCGGGACCGCCAGCGGCCTCCGCGCGCGCACGGTGATCGCCGCCGGCCGAGGCGCTCAAGGGTCGGAGGGCCGCCGTCGCGAGTCCGTCCCTGCGGGCGGCGCGCGGCCTCGCGCCCCCCCTCCCCGCCCCGCCCTCTCCAGGCCCCCGCCCCGCCCCGCCCCGCCCCCGAAGGCGACCGCGCGGCCTCCAGGGGCCGTTACGCTGGCCGTTGGCGGCCGGACGGCGAGGCCCCGCCCCGCGAGCCTGGGCGCCGGGGGCGGGCGGGCGGGCGCGGAGCCGGGCGGGGGCGCGCGTCCGTCCCTTCCTGCCCCGCGGCGCGCGCCGCCGCCCCCGCCCCGCCCCCGCCGCGCGCGCAGCCGCCCTCCCGCCGCGCGTTTTGTCCCGCGTCTCGCCCCGTCCGCCGCCTGACCGGCCGTCTCGTCCTTCCTCCCGCTCTCCCTCGGCTCGCTCGCGTCTCAAGATGCCCTCGGCCACCAGCCACGGCGGGAGCGGCAGCAGGTCGTCCGGGCCGCCCCCCGCGGCGGGCTCCTCCGGCGGCGAGGCGGGGGCCGGGGCCGGGGCCGCGGCGCCGGCCGCCCAGCACCCCGCGAGCGGCACGGGCGCCGTGCAGACGGAGGCCATGAAGCAGATCCTCGGCGTGATCGACAAGAAGCTCCGGAATCTGGAGAAGAAGAAGGTGCGGGGGGTGCCCGGGCCCGGCTCTCCCGCCCCTCCCGCCCCGCGCGGCCCGGAAAGCGGGCCCGCGGACGTGCCGTCAGCTGACCGGCCCCGGCCGGCCCTGGGCCTCGGCCTCGGCGCGCCGTGCCGCCGCCTGCCCGAGCCGCGCGCGGCCCCCTCCCCTGCCGGGGCGCCCGGGCGGCAGAGGCCCGCGGCCTGGCCCTGCGCGGGGGCCGCTCCGTGCCCGGCTCCCTCCTCGCCCCGGGGCACCAGTGTCGCCTTCGGGACCCCGCAGCTCCTCTGAGGGGCCTCGGCCGCCCCCCGTCCCCGCCCGCGGGGCGCCCCTGCGGGTCCCTCTTTGTTCGATTGTCTGGGTGTCCCCGAGCCGCAGGCCCGGCCCGGCCCCGAGCAGAGTGTCCGCGGCGGCCGTCCGGCCCTGGGGGGCCCTCGAGGGGGCCGGGGGCGCCGGGCGCGGCGGGGCGGTGGGGGCGGGGGCGGCCGGGCGCGGGCGCGGGCACGTGGGGCGGCGAACATGGCGGCGGCGGGCAGGGCGCGCGCGGAGCCGCATTGTGAGCACAAAGCGAAAGCGGGGGCGGCGGCCGGCAGCCCCCCCGGAGCCGCCGCGCCGCAGCCCTTCCGCTCCGACGTCGGCCGGCCGCGGTCGCCCGGGAGGCCTGGCGGCGGGCCGGCCTTTTGTTGGGCGCTCTGGGCGCCGGCTCCGCTCGCGGGGACACGTGTGTGCGCGCGTGTGTGTATGTGCGCGTGTGCGTGTGTGTGTGCGGACACGCACGGGGCGGGGGGCTCGGCGGCGAGCGCAGCCTGAGCCGAGGGTGCGGGGGGGAAAGGGAGACGCATCAGCAGCACAAAATTGGGGCGATTGCATGTGTGATTAGTATGCACGCTTTTGCCTTATACCTTAAAAAGGAAAATAAGTTTTCTACGGTAACTTTTGCTTGTCTGTCTCTAGTAAAATATATTTACTATAGTATCTTAATTTTGGGGAAGTCCTTTAGAATGTTTACAGTATTTAGCCAGCCACCGAATAGTACTACTGAAGAGGTTGAAATAGTAACTGTTTGGCTAAAATTTGGGCTGTGGGGGATAACTCGAAGAAAACTGATGACATTTACGCCGTAATTATCTTAATTGCTTGTTTAATGGTTTATTTTACATTTTAGGAGAGTTTTAAAACATTTTTCTGTCTTCTGTATTGGGAATTTTACTTGAGTTTCTTGGACTTTTTTTGAAGTTGAGAGATGCACTAATCTTGGATTTCTACTTTTTGCCCATCTTTTATTTTGAAAAGCAAGTCTGGTTTATTATAAATGATTGAAATAGATTTATCAACATCAACAAAGCAACAAAAGTATTTTAATTGTAAAGTAGCTACATTCAAATACGTAATAGAATAAACACGCCCTAAGGCCAGTCTCTTTTGGTTCTGAGTCGCCCATCTGATTTAGTTTTTCCCACTCTGAAATTGAGACTTAGATATCTTTAAAACATTTCAATGCAATAAACAATCCTGTCAATCTGGGTGATGCTTGAATGATTTAATTTTCAGAATTCCTAGGAAATCTCTGTTTTCTTCTAGGATAGGAATCAGAAGGTAAATATTAATGATATAGTATTTTACATATAGGCATCTTAATAGGGATATTTATATTTTAATGACAAGAGTAATTTTTCAAGGGCATTAATATGAAGTCAGACATTGATTAGCAGTCAGCTTAGTTGTGAGGTGATTGTTAGATTCTAGTGTTCGAGTGTATTTGAAAAAAGTAGAAATGTAGTTTACAAGCCCCTTTAGGGCCTGAACCGTGGTGGGTCTCTCCTGTGTATAGGGTTGTGTTACTATATGTTGCCTCCCTGCCCCCCCATCGTAGAGGAGAAAGTCATGTAATTATTACGAAGATGGTAGACTAGACTAGTAAGTACTGAAAAATTCCCTTGTAATAATGGAGATTTAACAAACTACACAAAGTAGCAAATGTATTTTCATATTTTTTTTCTGTCTTAGTGTTTTGGGTGCTAGGTAGTAGAAAGGTCAAATTACAGTTAAGTGAGCCTTTTTGATAACTCACACTGAGCTACCTACTTTTAAATAGTTACATTGGCAGTACTGACGTTGTGTCTTAGTTACTGTTAAAACTGTAAGTTTTACTTTTTGAGAAACTTGAGAGGCATTTGAATTTTTCTCTAAGCACATCTGGCTTCTAGTTTAAATGGAAATTTTTTTCTGTCTAGATGACTTACTGTATAAACATTTAATTTTGAGTCGTTTTTCAGTAGGGAGTGAGCATTTCTAATACACCTGAAATAGGATTTACTTTACAAATCAGTTTTGAACCTTTTTAGAAATCCTTATGGAGTAAAGTGAGCTATTTGTAACTGGATTTCTTTTTGCTTCAGTCCACTTAGCAACTGATATTTGAGCTGTATTTCAGACCTGTTCATGGGAGTCTTCAGACAAAATGCCTTTTTCCATGGATTCCGAAATCAAGTATCCTGACAGAAATTACTACTAGATATGTATTATCAGTTACAGTATGTATCAGTTACATTGAGACACAGAATTGAAATAATTTTACTGCGCTTCATTTAAGAAACAAAGTTATTTGTTAATTTTCTAATAAGCCAAGCACTTAGAGGACAGCTAAGCATCTGTAAAGTGAGAATGCATGCTTCACATTGATGAAATATGATCGTATTATGTAATGCAATTAAATGGCCTGGTATTTTTTGAAATTTGGGCTTATAAAGATTACATGAGCACTTAGCAAAGAGGATAAACACAGGTATAGTAAGAATCAAGTGTAAAGCTCCATTAACAAATCTTTAACTGATTAAACTTATGAGTAATGACGAATTGAGTGATTGCCTGGTTTTCTTCTTCAGTTCATTGGTACAGAACTGGGCCCTAGGCTATGCAAGATGATATTTTGAAACGAAGTCTTAATTTTAACTGAAGAGGGAGCTTATTTATATGGTAAGATATAATCGGTTTTGATGTAGAAGAAAGGGTGTTTTAATAGATGACATTTAAAATTGTTAGATTCTTTGTAAATACACTAGGGTTAGACACTAGTGACTGCGGTAGGTGAAAGATTAACCAGTGTTCTCTTTCAAAACAGCCTGACAGCTTTTTAACCAATATGTGACCAGAAATGATGACCAAAGTCTACTATTTTTCATACTGCTCCCTAAAGTTTTTTCTTTATATCATTACTGTTAGCATTATTCTGAAAAAGGATAATGTTTCTTTCCAGAGCATTGCAGTGTGCTTCCAGTTAGAATTTTCATTGCAGAATTTCTTTTAAGTATTTTGAAATAAAAACATTGTTTATAAGTAAAATGTTTCTTAGGGCTAACATCTGAAGTTTTTCTTGACCGTTAAGATCTCTGATGTGCTGCCTTCTCTATTGGTTACATGAACTATCCCTCTGCAATGCAGAGTGCAAGATTACTTTGTTTTGTGTTCACCTCGTCACAGGGAAAAAAGCATTTATAATGCTTTAATTTTTTTCCCTCTGCCTGCCTTAGTGTGGGGTGTAGGGGGGGGAGAGATGTAGCAAAGTATTTAAAATTTGAATTTAAAGAGAAAAAGATGTGAATATCCTCGTGATAACACAGGTACCTTTTTCTGGGATCAGAATAGAATCCTAAGTATTATAATGAGAATGGATTGTTTGAACCTTGCCTCATTATTCTACTCTAGGATAATTCTCATGTGGCACATATTTCTATCAGAATACATTTTGTATGACTTAGAGATTAAGGAAACCATTTGTTATAATTTTATGTAATTAATTTCCTACCTTACATGTAGAACAGATGAAGATAAAGATGTTTTGTTAAAAAAATTAGTAAATGCTTGGAAAAGGTTATATTTACTACAATAAAATCTAAGATTTTTTGAGATCTTAAATCCATCTTAGAATTAGTCCAATTCGTTTTATAGAAGAGAAAATTGAGATGCTTACGTAAAATGACCTGGGTTGGAATGGGTGTGAATGCCAAGGTCTCTTGTAATGTTTAATGGGGGTGATTAGAATTTGTAATGCTCTGCAACGTTAGTGTAATTTTTCCTGTTGAAGCTTATCTTGTAGAACCAAATAATACCTTTTACGTCAAGTCCTTTAATTGCTTTTTCTTTTTTTTTTTGAGGAAGATTAGCCCTGAGCTAACATCTGCCACCAATCCTCTTTTTGCTGAGGAAGACTGGCCCTGAGCTAACGTCTGTGCCCATCTTCCTCTACTTTATATGTGGGACGCCTACCACAGCGTGGCTTCATGAGTGGTGCTTAGGTCCCCGCCAGGGATCTGAAACTGGTGAACCCCGGGCCGCTGAAGCAGAGCATGTGAACCCAACTGCTGCACCACAAGGCTGGCCCTCAAATCCTTTAATCCTTTATTACAGTTTCTCTATTTTAAAAAAGCTGAAAGCAGAAGAAAAAAGCTTTTGTTTCTTTATTGTTAGATCTTTATTAATGTCTCCTTGTTAAATTGTGTTTGTAGGCTGTCCAGGTAGTGGGGTCCTGAGATTAGCAGTACTACAGGTAAAGTCCCATTGTATCAGGTTTCATTGGGACATCCATATTGTTGTAATGAATTGAACTTTCAAACTCTGAAGATTCTCTTTATGTTAGGGTGAGCTCCATATGCACACATGCCAGTCTCTACTCAAGCTTGGTCTGTTATTGACTAGAAAATTTGGGAAAAGCTTTACCAGTCAGAGAAATAGGAGCCTTTCCATGTGTCAGCCTTTCCATGTTAATTCTTGTATTAAGCTTCTGGATATTTTTTAGTACTTGCTCCCTTTTTCTTGGGGACATGAATGGTGTGTGTGCAGTAGAGAAGAATGCGAGGAGTAGCAGAAGAGAAATTCCTCCTGAGCTGGAGTTGTAAATTGCTTGACTCCTGCTCTTGTGTCGCTCCCGGCTGTCCCGGTGCTTTTGCTGCACAGACTGTGAGTGTGAAGCACTGGAAGGAGACTTGGTTGGGCATGTGCAGCGTTCC